AGACAAACAAAGACAAAGACAAAGACAAAGACAAAGACAAAGACAAAGACAAACAAAGACACAGACAAAGACAATGACAAACAAAGACAAAGACAAAGACAAACAAAGACAAACACAAACAAAGACAAACAAACACAAACACAAACAAAGACAAAGACAAAAACACAAACAAAGACAAACACAAAAACAAAGACAAACACAAAGACAAAGACAAAGACAAAGACAAAGACAAAACAAAACAACACAAAAACAAACACAAAAACAAAAACAAACACAAAGACAAGACAAAGACAAAGACAAAAAAAAACACAAACAAAAACAAAGACAAAGACAAACACAAAAACAAACACAAAAACAAAAACAAAGACAAAAACAAAGACAAACACAAACACAAACAACACAAACACAAACAAAGACAAACACAAAAACAAAGACAAAGACAAAAACAAACACAAAAACACAAACAAAGACAAAAAAAAAGACAAAACAAAAACACAAACAAAGACAAAAACAAAGACAAAGACAAAGACAAAGACAAACACAAAAACAAACAAAAACAAAGACAACCACAAACACAAACAAAGACAAACACAAAAACAAACACAAACACAAACACAAAGACAAAGACAAAAACAAAGACAAAGAAAAAGACAAAAACAAACACAAAAACAAACACAAACACAAAGACAAAAGACAAAGACAAAGACAAAAACAAAGACAAAGAAAAAGACAAAAACAAAGACAAACACAAAAACAAACACAAACACAAAGACAAAGACAAAAACAAAAACAAAGACAAAGACAAACACAAAAACAAACACAAAAACAAAAACAAAGACAAAAACAAAAACAAAGACAAACACAAACACAAACACAAACACAACCACAAACCACAAACACAAACACAAACACAAACACAAACACAAACACGTCTGCTCCCCTGAGAAGATTTCCCTTTAAGTCACAGAAACTCTCAACAATCAAAGTTGAATATCTTTGCGTATTTACCGGTACTTGTAGCGCCGTGTTCTGGATGGGCGTGGTTAAGGTGGCGATCCCTGCGGGACTCTGCATGGTCGACAGCACCTGTGTGCCGTCGGGTTTGAGCGTTGTGAGAACCAGCGAGTCGGTCTTCAGGATCTGAGGCTGCTGGACCAGAACCTGCAGGAAACAAACATTCAGAGTGTAATATGATCGCTTATAGAGATGTAAGTACACGGACGCCACACGACCCGATCGTGGTGGTCAGATCGCAGATTCAGGTACGTTAAATGATGATGTGTTCAGATCGTTTCTCACAATGGATGGGGTACCTACGGGTACTTGTTGCATCTGCTGCTGCATGACCGCAGCGGGTGCCGTAGAGAGAGTCTGGATCCCGTTGGAGGTCAGAACACGCTGGTGCTGAATGGTCATTGGTTGGAGCTGCTGTGATGTCATAATGCTCTGCATTTGTGGTTGGAGGACTTTAAAGGAGGAGACAAAAGAGGTGGGGTTAAACATACTTTTTAAGCACAGCTTCAACTTTAAATAAAAACTATGATTCCTGTGTTAGGTCACCTTGGAAACTAGGGGCGGGGCTCTGGTGGCAGATGACCGGGTTCTGGATGAAGCGCCCGCCATTGGAGGTGATCATGACGGTTTGGGCCGCCTGCGTCTGGATGGGCAGCGGTGTCTGGCTGTGGGTCTGAACCAGGGTGTGGCCCGGGAAGCTCTGCGTCTGCATGGCGATCCCCTGAGTGTGCATCTGCAGGAAATAAAAATAAAAAGAGTCAGCTCGTTTCCTTCAGAGATGATAAAAGTTTATCTGCATCGTTTGTGTTTATTTCAGACGAGACGGTGAACTCCATCTTTCAGGCTGGATGTTTTTTTGTGCTGAGCTGTGCACAACTGTTTGCAGGGCTGCAGAGCGGGATCATATATTTTACAGTCTGTCGCTGCTCTGGAATCTCTCTCCTGTCAGCAGAAACTTTTCTTTTTTCAAACTGAGAGGACAAGGACAGAAAATAAATCCACACTCTCCACAACAGATAACTAAATCTCAGATGGAGAGGCCGGCGCCCGACCGCTCTCCTCCATCACCGCTGTAGTCTCAACGCCAACATGGAACCACGAGCTCGTCGAAATGTTTCAATACTTTCTCATGCTACGTGTTTGAAAAAGACACAATCTGTTATTTTAATGATCCATTGACTCAAAAAGTGCCAAAGCGGGATATAAAAACTACATCTGTCTCATAAGAGCGGAGTGTAGGAGAGGAATGAATCCATCAAAGGTTGCAGGAACATCGTCTAATCATCCATCCATTATCTACACCGCTTTCCCTGTTCAGGGTCGCGGGGGGGGCTGGAGCTGATCCCAGCTGTCATTGGGAGAGAGGCGGGGTTACACCAGTCAATCAGAGCTGACATATAGTTCAACAGCCAATCACAGGGCTGACATATAGAGACAGATAACCAGACACACTCACATTCACACCTACAGACGATTTAGAGTCAGCAGTTAACCTAACGAGCATGTCTTTGGACTGTGGAGGAAGACGGAGAACCAGGAGAGAACCCACACATGAACAAGGAGAACATGCAGACTCCACACAGAGAGACTCCTGAAGGACGGGGATTCAAACCAGGAACCTCCTCACAGAGAGACTCCTGAAGGACGGGGATTCAAACCAGGAACCTCCTCACAGAGAGACTCCTGAAGGACGGGGATTCAAACCAGGAACCTCCTCACAGAGAGACTCCTGAAGGACGGGGATTCAAACCAGGAACCTCCACACAGAGAGACTCCTGAAGGACGGGGATTCAAACCAGGAACCTCCTCACAGAGAGACTCCTGACAGACGGGGATTCAAACCAGGAACCTCCACACAGAGAGACTCCTGAAGACGGGGATTCAAACCAGGAACCTCCTCACAGAGAGACTCCTGACAGACGGGATTCAAACCAGGAACCTCCTCACAGAGAGACTCCCGACAGACAGGGATTCAAACCAGGAACCTCCTCACTGTGAGGGAACAGAGCTAACCACTGCACCACCGTTCAGCAGGAACAAAATCTAAATTGCTAAAATAAAAGAATGTTATCAACATGTTTGTGCAGGTTTTGATCCTGTTGGTGTTGTTGATGTTTAAAACTCTTGAGCAAAGCGTTCTGAAGTCTCTCAGTGAGAAGTTTTTACTTGTGTCACACTAAAGATTTGGGTGTACCTGGAGGGGGGGGGGGGTCAGAGGGTAAATACCTGGATGGTGGGCTGGGCTGTCTGTTGGGGCTGAGGCTGGATGGGCTGCACCACCTGAGGCCTCGGCTGGAGGAGCGGAGGGGTGCGGGTCACCTGCTGCCCCGAGGAGACAGCGGTGGGGGAGGGGGTCTGTACGGGGGTGAGGGGAGGGGTGAGGGGGAGGGACTGGGGAGAAAGTGTCTGGGAGGGGGTGAGACTACTGTTGGAGCTCTGGTACGCAGCAGGGGTCGGGGTCCGTGGGGTTTGAGGAGTTGGTCTGGGGGCGGGGGTGGTGGAGGCTCCGCTCTGAGCAGAGCCTGCCGAGGCCATCTGGTCCTCAAACAGGTCTGGGAAGTCCCCGACCTGGTTACTGACGAACTGGAGCATCTCTGTGGAACAGGAGAAACAAAACGAAGGTTACAGTCCATCGGGTTTTATCAAAGAAGTAAAATCATGATCCACTGCAGACGCTCAGGACTTCATCAGTCAAGTCATATTTATTCATAAAGCACATTTAAAAACAGCAACAGACATTAAAAAAACAAAAAACAACTTGATATCACAACGTCCACAGGAAAGAGAGAAATATGTATACATAAAGAAAGAATAAAGAAAGAAAGCAACAAAGGAACCTGAAAGAAACGGTCTATTCAGGACCAGAGGACTCAAATGCTAAAATATAAAAGTATGTCTTGAGACAGGATTTAAAAGAGTCAACAGAGGGTGCAGACCTGATGGGATGAGGGGGGCTGTTCCACAGTTTAGGGCAGGGTCCGAAATTAACTTTATGACTCACCAGCCAAGGTGGCAGGTAGATGAAAAAATTCACCTGCCAAACATATTTTTTTACCGGCCAAAATAACAAATTGTGTTTTTGTGTCCTATACACATCTGTTACAGTACATTTAATTGAGAAGGCATTATGTTCTGTTTAATCAATAAAACATTTAAGTCACAGATTTGATCACGTCATCAGATCAGGAAATTGAGAAATTGTAAAAAAATATATATTTGCTGGCCTTTATTTTTTTCCTAATGTGTTATTTGTAGGCAGTAGTTTCCAGAACTTTGACCTAACACCACAGCAACAATAAACATGTTGTCATGGCAACTGCCTCCAATGACTCGTCCCGTTACAAATATCGAAGGGAGGATGTCTCTGTCTTTCATAACTGTTGGAAATGTTGGAGGTAATATTAGTACTCAACAGAATCTATAAAAGAAAGGTTCATCTGAAAGTCTCCGTGCAGAGGGAGGGAACCATCGTCTATCAAGTTCTGTATTTGTGAACAATGTGGAGAAACCTGTCGGGCATCATTTCTCATAAATAAATAAATGATGACTTCACTGAAAACCTTTAAGCTCAGGAGAAGGCTACTCCCAGCGTGGAGATAATCATCTTTATACTCGGCTCACTGAGTGTCCTTGACAGAGAACCTGTCCTCCACTGGAGCTTCACTCAGCCTTGAATCGGCACATGATCACTCGCACACAGCTACTATGGAGGTCGTAAATCAGTGCACTGATTGTCCTGAAAGCAAAAGGCCTTCAGGAGGACGGCCTTGAAGAAGTGTCGTAATCTTACTGATGGCCCACAAAGACAAGATAAAAAAAGTATTTAGATAAAGACTCTCTAACAGCACTGATGGATCGAAGGAACCGTAATGATGAAGAACGTGCACTAAAAACCTGATTCTACACCTTCAAGAAGCAGCTGATACACGGGCTGTTTGTTTTACAACCTGTGATCCAACCTATCAGAGACTGTGCCTCGACAAGGTCCAATCAGTGAGATGATAAAGGTATCTTACTATTTGATCACTAAGGAAACATGCTATGTTGAAGTGCTGGCTTCTCTGACAACAATGCAGCAGCCAGTATGTCCTCCTTTAACTTTAGATTCTGCTCCTGAATGCTCTGGAGCCGTTTTGGACTCCCCTCGGTTTGTCAGATATGAGAGCAGTTATCAGGTCAACAGGTGTTGCAGTGATGGAACCGGTCAAGAGAAGTGGTTCAGATAGAAGTGATTGTACCCGACCTAAAAAGCCTCTGCATGTTTCTAATAAGCTCCACGAGCAGAAACGTGCTCAAACTAGGATCAATATTGGAGATGCTTTTGAAAAATGGAGAGAGGTTAGAACACAGAAAGGTTTACAGACCCATGCAGAGCTGGATAAACACTGAAGCTTCAGAGTCCACCACATGGTGACCTGCGTGAGCATCCACTCTCAAAGTGAATAAACTAGGTTATAAGATTATCCCAACGGTCCCTGTTTGAGGTTTAAATGTTTTGTTGTATCACTTTAGTGGTCAAACAGGACTTTGGAACTTAAAGGCTTTTGACAAGTCCCTGACAGGGTCCATGTGGTAAAAAAAAAATCACTGCCTTTGTTGATCTAAATCACAGATACGAACAGAGTCTGCAGCCTTGGACTCAGTCTGACTGGACAAAAGAGAGAGAGAGAGAGAGAGAGACAGAGAGAGAGAGAGAGAGAGAGAGAGAGAGAGAGAGAGAGAGAGAGAGAGAGAGAGAGAGAGAGAGAGCAGAGAGAGAGAGAGAGAGAGAGAGAGAGAGAGAGACAGAGAGAGAGAGAGAGAGAGAGAGACAGACAGAGAGAGAGAGAGAGAGAGAGAGAGAGAGAGAGAGAGAGACAGACAGAGAGAGAGAGACAGAGAGAGAGAGAGACAGAGAGAGAGAGAGAGAGAGAGAGACAGAGAGAGAGAGAGAGAGAGAGAGAGACAGACAGAGAGAGAGAGAGAGAGAGAGAGAGAGAGAGAGAGAGAGAGAGAGAGAGAGAGAGAGAGACAGAGAGAGAGAGAGAGAGAGAGAGAGCGCAGACTATCTTCTGCTCAGAGAGGTCTGAGGATGGGAAGAGAACTCTGATTAGGAAATGTAATTAGAGATAAACATTAAGGAGCATCAGTAACACAGTGAGCTGATGTAAACAGAACTGTTTAATTTAAACTACATTACACTGGACCATTAGGAGTTTCCCTTCTCTTCACACGGAGACGTTAAGTCACTGTGATGTGATAAACCTTCATTTGAACCTGGGGGAGAAAGTTCACATTCAAACTGTAATGAGCCGTTGGATTTCAAAAAGTCTATCAGAGCAGCTGACGGTCTGAAGTAGTTTGCAGTTTGCTCCAGCAGAGGGCGCTCTCAGTGTGAATTGACCATTGCACAAGTTAGTTTGTTGCCCTTTTTTCGTTTTTTAAATTCTATCAGAGCCGCTGAAGAGAGACAGGAAATGTTAGGAGGAGAGCGAGGGGGACGACATGTAGCGAGGGCCGAGGTCGGATTTGAAACCTTTGGCCGCTGAGACGAGGAATACAGCCTCCGTACGTGGGACACACAACATAACCGCTATGCTATCAGACAACGCCATTACATGAACCTTTGACCTCAGTAAATGGAGACAGTACTGTTGTGGCAAAAGCAACGAGGGTGCGATCCAGATGCAGACTGACATGAGAGAGACTTGTCTCTCTGCAGACAGCATCTCACTGATTGGTGGAGAAAAACAGGGTCACCACAAACCTGCAACTCTCCAAGATGGCTCGCAAATATTTGTGTTTACCAGTAACATCTGTGCGCTCTGAACGAGTGTTCTCATCAGCAGGTCATATTGTAAATATGAAGATCCTGATAAAGTTTAAAGACTTAAGTTCCTGGGAAAAGATCTTTAAAATAATTTGGTTCTTTTGGATCGTAAACAGGTTTTCAGTTTTAGCCTCGTTATTTCTTATTTTGTGTCCGTGTGGCGGGGAGGGAGGGACATTATGTAAAGCTTTGGTTCTCTTCATCTAACCATTTCAAGAAAATATTTTGTTGAGGACCCCAAAAGGCAACTAGAAACAACAGGATATACTTTCCAGGTTGTAACTTACGACAGAGAAGTTCACAGTGATAAAAGAACGTAAACCGTAGAAGACTGTAGCAGACTGAAGGACACAGACAGAAGGTAACATTTCCCAACCTGTCAAACACACACACATTAAACCAGCAGACACACTAGACCTTGCACTTGCTCTGCACGCCACTGTACACCTCCACGGGGGGCGACTGTTCATGACAGAAGGGACAAAGCCGCTCGGAGCCACGATGGCCTCAGACGAGCTGACACAAAGACCAAAGGGGGGGGCAGGTTCATCAGACGCTCAGCACAAAAAGAACAGGTTATGTAACCTCCTCTGCAGTTGCTAAGAGAATAATTGGGGGAGGGAGAATGTGGGAAGGTTCCATGGGCCTCTGCGACCTCACATTCAACGAGGCGCACATGTCTGAGAAACAAAGCTTATGTGGACCTCTGGAGGTCTGCAGAGAACCATCAGCAAAGAGACGTTTCAGAGCTCAAGAACTGAGAGAAAGTGGATTTTATATCAAGTGAGAAAAAGTTCTCCGGAGACAGCTGTAGGCCAATAAGAGCCTGAGTCAGACTTCAATATGATCCATATCTGTTTCGATACCATGGTAACTAAAAAATATAAGTTATAGACCCCCAATATGTGCGTAATTACTAGTTTTTAATAACTCCTGCAGGCTGTCTAAAAGGCACAGACGTGTTGGTATTGATTTACAATCCATGCACGGTGCCAGAGTACGGTACGTTTGTGTTCACACTGACCAAATGAGCTCGAGTCCCTAACGTGAAACACCCCAAGACAGATACGCGCGAAAATGAACCGACCGATTCTTGTTTTGATACCACGACAACCAAAATAGAAGTTCTGGTCACCTAATGTTGAGTAATTTCTTGTTTTTAAGTTCCTGCAGACCGTCTAAAATAAACAAGACGCTTTGGTCTGCAGGAGTCTTCCTCTTCCTCTCCTGCACACAGACGTAGTTTATTTAAAGTTTGGGGACCCATCGATAACTAGCTGAACTCAGGTGTGCACGGCCTGGCTGCACCTGAACTCCTCAGATGTGTCCCAGGATATCTGAACATTCCTTCCTTTCACTCAGTGATTATGAGATGTTACATAACTGAGGCCGGAGGCTTTAACTGCTGTCTGCTCATTCAGACCCCGTTTAGAAGGAGAACTCCCTCCAGAGACTAAAGGCAGGTGATGCTGTGAACACAACGGTCTGTTTTATTCATATCAGTGAGTAGGATGAACCCACAGCCCGCCATCGCCAGAGGACAAACACAGTGTAACCATCTCCCTCTGTCTGACAACACACGGGGACCCCAGCAGTCCGTCTGCTGATTTAGCGCTCGCTCGAATTCCAGCCTAATGGAAATCTGGTGACTCTGCACCAGCCGGCACTTCCCAAAATCCAAGTGCATTCACGCTGTGCCAAGAGGGGAAGCGTGTATTGATAAGAGATCAGGAGGCTGTTTGTTCAGCGGCTGCTGCAGAGCGGAGCACTCGATGGGAACAGAGAGAACTTTTAGCAAACATCTGCAGAATAAAAACCATACCATAAAACAAGTCTTCACATTCAAGTCTTCAATCTAAATCATTCATTCTTATTGGTTTTGTTTTTTATTCAGCTGCTAGACATAATCAGTAACCTAAACATTTAAAAAAAAAAAAGAAGCATTTACCTCTAGCCCCTAGTGTTTAAAATGGGTACTGCAGTCCAGATTCTAAACATCATAGAGAGCTGTCCCCCCCCCCTCTCTAGAGTGGATGCTCACGCAGGTCACCATGTGGTGGACTCTGAAGCTTCAGTGTTTATCCAGCTCTGCATGGGTCTGTAAACCTTTCTGTGTTCTAACCTCTCTCCATTTTTCAAAAGCATCTCCAATATTGATCCTAGTTTGAGCACGTTTCTGCTCGTGGAGCTTATTAGAAACATGCAGAGGCTTTTTAGGTCGGGTACAATCACTTCTATCTGAACCACTTCTCTTGACCGCTTCCATCACTGCAACACCTGTTGACCTGATAACTGCTCTCATATCTGACAAACAGAGGGGCGTCCAAAACGGTTCCAGAGCATTCAGGAGCAGAATCTAAAGTTAGAAGGAGGACATTCCACGTCACCACGTCACTCGTCACCTCTTCACCACGTCACTCGTCACTACGTCACTCGTCACCACGTCACTCGTCACCTCTTCACCACGTCACTCGTCACCACGTCACTCGTCACCTCTTCACCACGTCACCTCTTCACCACATCACTCCTCACCTCGTCACTCGTCACCTCTTCACCACGTCACTCGTCACTACGTCACTCGTCACCTCTTCACCACGTCACTCCTCACCTCGTCACTCCTCACCTCTTCACCACGTCACTCGTCACTACGTCACTCGTCACCACGTCACTCGTCACTCCTCACCACATCACTCCTCACCTCGTCACTCCTCACCTCTTCACCACGTCACTCGTCACTACGTCACTCGTCACCTCTTCACCACGTCACTCCTCACCTCGTCACTCCTCACCTCTTCACCACGTCACCTCTTCACCACGTCACTCGTCACCTCTTCACCACGTCACCACATCACTCGTCACTCGTCACCACGTCACCTCTTCACCACATCACCTCTTCACCACATCACTCGTCACCACGTCACTCTTCACCACGTCACTCGTCACCACGTCACCTCTTCACCACATCACTCTTCACAACGTCACCTCTTCACCCGTCACCTTCTCACCACGTCACCTCTTCACCACATCACTCGTCACCTCGTCACTCGTCACCACATCACCACGTCACCTCTTCACCACGTACCTCTTCACCACGTCACTCGTCACCACGTCACTCGTCACCACGTCATCGTCACCACGTCACTCGTCACCTCTCACCACGTCACTCGTCACCACGTCACTCTCACCACGTCACTCGTCACCACGTCACTCGTCACCTCTTCACCACGTCACTCGTCACCTCTTCACCACGTCACTCGTCACCTCTTCACCACATCACTCGTCACCACGTCACCACGTCACTCGTCACCACATCACTCGTCACCACGTCACCACATCACTCGTCACCTCGTCACTCGTCACCACGTCACTCGTCACCTCTCACCACGTCACTCTCACCACGTCACTCGTCACCACTCACTTGTCACCACATCACTCGTCACTACGTCACCTCTTCACCACATCACTCGTCACCTCGTCACTCGTCACCTCTTCACCACGTCACTCGTCACCACGTCACTCGTCACCTCTTCACCACGTCACTCTTCACCACATCACTCGTCACTCTTCACCACGTCACTCTTCACCACGTCACTCGTCACACTCTTCACCTCACCACGTCACTCGTCACCACATCACTCGTCACCCCGTCACTCGTCACCACATCACTCGTCACTCTCACCTCCACCACGTCACTCGTCACCACTCTCGTCACCACATCACTCGTCACCTCTTCACCACGTCACTCTCACCTCTTCACCATGTCACTCATCACCTCTCACCACGTCACTCGTCACCTCTTCACCACATCACTCGTCACCTCTTCACCACATCACTCGTCACTCGTCACCTCTTCACCACATCACTCGTCACTCGTCACCACGTCACTCCGTCACCTCTTCACCACATCACTCGTCACTCGTCACCACATCACTCGTCACCACGTCACTCGTCACCTCTTCACCACGTCACTCGTCACCTCTTCACCACATCACTCGTCACCTCTTCACCACATCACTCGTCACTCGTCACCTCACCACATCACTCGTCACCACATCACTCGTCACCTCTTCACCACATCACCGTCACTCGTCACCTCTTCACCACATCACTCGTCACCTCTTCACCACATCACTCGTCACTCGTCACCACATCACTCGTCACCACGTCACTCGTCACCTCTCACCATGTCACTCTCACCTCGTCACCACGTCACTCGTCACCACGTCACTCGTCACCTCTTCACCCACATCACTCGTCACCTCTTCACCACATCACTCGTCACCTCTTCACCACATCACTCGTCACTCGTCACCACATCACTCGTCACCTCGTCACCATGTCACTCGTCACCTCTTCACCACATCACTCGTCACCTCTTCACCACATCACTCGTCACTCGTCACCACATCACTCTCACCTCGTCACCATGTCACTCGTCACCTCTTCACCACATCACTCGTCACTCGTCACCACATCACTCTCACCTCGTCACCATGTCACTCTCACCTCTTCACCATGTCACTCATCACCTCTTCACCACATCACTCGTCACCTCTTCACCACATCACTCGTCACCTCGTCACCACATCACTCGTCACCTCTTCACCATGTCACTCATCACCTCGTCACCACTTCACTCGTCACTCGTCACCTCTTCACCATGTCACTCATCACCTCGTTCACCATGTCACTCATCAACTCTTCACCACATCACTCGTCACCTCTTCACCACATCACTCGTCACTCGTCACTCTCACGTCACCACGTCACTCTCACCACATCACCGTCACCTCTTCACCACATCACTCGTCACCTCTTCACCACATCACTCGTCATCGTCACCACACACTCGTCACTCGTCACCACATCACTCGTCACCACATCACTCGTCACCTCTTCACCACATCACTCGTCACCTCGTCACTCGTCACCACGTCACTCGTCACCACATCACTCGTCACCTCTTCACCACATCACTCGTCACCTCTTCACCACATCACTCGTCACTCGTCACTCGTCACTCGTCACCACGTCACTCGTCACCACATCACTCGTCACCTCTTCACCACATCACTCGTCACCTCGTCACTCGTCACCACGTCACTCGTCACCACATCACTCGTCACCTCTTCACCACATCACTCGTCACCTCTTCACCACGTCACTCATCACCTCGTCACCACGTCACTCGTCACTCGTCACCACGTCACTCGTCACCACGTCACTCATCACCTCTTCACCACGTCACTCGTCACCACGTCACTCGTCACCACATCACTCGTCACCTCTTCACCACATCACTCGTCACCTCTTCACCACATCACTCGTCACCTCGTCACTCGTCACTCGTCACCACATCACTCGTCACCTCTTCACCACGTCACTCATCACCTCGTCACCACGTCACTCGTCACTCGTCACCTCTTCACCACGTCACACGTCACTCGTCACCACGTCACACGTCACCTCTTCACCACGTCACACGTCACTCGTCACCTCTTCACCACGTCACACGTCACCTCTTCACCACGTCACTCGTCACCTCTTCACCACGTCACCTCTTCACGTCACTCGTCACCACGTCACACGTCACCACGTCACACGTCACTCGTCACCTCTTCACCACGTCACTCGTCACCTCTTCACGTCACTCGTCACCACGTCACACGTCACCACGTCACCTCTTCACGTCACTCGTCACCACGTCACACGTCACCACGTCACACGTCACCACGTCACTCGTCACCTCGTCACCACGTCACACGTCACCTCGTCACTCGTCACCACGTCACTCGTCACCTCTTCACGTCACTCGTCACCTCTTCACGTCACTCGTCACCACGTCACTCGTCACCGCGTCACTCGTCACACGTCACTTGTCACCTCTTCACCACGTCACCTCTCGTCACCACGTCACTTGTCACCTCTTCACCACGTCACCTCTCGTCACCACGTCACTCGTCACCTCTTCACCTCGTCACCTCTCGTCACCACGTCACTCGTCACCACGTCACTCGTCACCTCTTCACCACGTCACTCGTCACCACGTCACTCGTCACCTCTTCACCACGTCACCTCGTCACCACGTCACCTCTTCACCACGTCACTCGTCACCTCTTCACCACGTCACTCGTCACCACGTCACACGTCACCTCTTCACCACGTCACTCGTCACTCGTCACCACGTCACTCGTCACCTCTTCACCACGTCACCTCGTCACTCGTCACCACGTCACTACGTCACCTCTTCACCATGTCACTCATCACCTCGTCACCACGTCACTCGTCACCTCTTCACCATGTCACTCATCACCTCGTCACCACGTCACTCGTCACCTCTTCTCGTCACCACGTCACTCGTCACCTCTTCACGTCACTCGTCACCTCTTCACGTCACTCGTCACCACGTCACTCGTCACCGCGTCACTCGTCACACGTCACTTGTCACCTCTTCACCACGTCACCTCTTCACCACGTCACCTCTTCACCACGTCACCTCTTCCATTAAAGCCTCTTTAAATATTCTGCCCACAAGGAAATATCTTGTGGCTTTTTTATTTTTAGCTTTTTGGACTTCAGGGACTCCGTAGGTCTCGATATTGTTTGATGAATATATTAATCATCATATTCTGGGATCATGACATTTAAAGATGTTCCTCCAGCTGAACATCGACCAGATGAGTCATGAATACTTAGAACACCTCTTCACAACCACAACAACAACAACAACAACAACAACAACAACAACAACACGGAGCTCCACCAGCAGCGTCACCCGGACTCACCGTCGATGTCTCCCAGGGTGAACTCGTCTCCTAACTCCGCTAAAGTGGAGTCCATGTTGTCGATGGTGGGGATGAAGTCTCCGCCGTCCATCCTGTCGGCGGCTCGTCGCCCCGGTGTGACCGGGAGGGAGGACACGAACACGGCCCACAACAACCGTTAACGTCGATGATTCTGTCCGGAACACGACCGCGCAGCCTCAGAGGAGGCAGACTTCTACGGCGATGAATTCATTCACATCAATTGATGCTTAACACGGCGCCATCTTGTTTTACGCTGTTTGCGTCATTCACAAACAGACGCTGTGGTCCAGGGCGTTCTCTGATTGGCTCAGAGCTAGCTGTTGTTGTCATGAGACCAGTCCTCGTCGTCCAATGAAAAGGTCGCATTTAGCGTGGTCTGATAGTACGTCAACATGGGAAGCTCCTGTTGTTTACAAACCGCGCCCCCTACGTTCATGAATAGAAGTGAACGTCATGACGGAAACAGCCCTTCACAATAAAATGACACTGAGTTGTAAATAAAATATAAATTATAATAAAAATATATAAATAATACATTAAGCCCTTAATCATTTAATGATACACTTAATATAAATACATTATAAATATAATTATATATATATATATATTTTTTTTTACTTAACTTTTATTTAACCAGTAAAGAAAACTCATCGAGATTAAAAATCTCTTTCCTGAGTGTCCTGGCATGACGGAATATCTAAACACAGTCACAGAAAACTGATCAGGTCGTACTATCAGCAGTTTCATATAAAAACATTTCAAATAAAACATCAGACCCGAGCGTGTGAAGTGATGAAAGTTTATTTCACTGCAGAACATTTTAAACAATTTCAACTTTGAAATCTAAATTTATAACTTTTAAAACACGTGTTTGGTTTCATTTTACAACAAGTGAAAACACTTCAATTTTCATCAGCCAGTAAGAAATCAGCTTTTAATACTTCAGTCCTTTTGTTCCTTAATGCTCAGCCATGACTTCAAGAAGAGTTAATAATGACATCGCCTCTTAATAGTACTCACATCAGCCTTCAGAATCTCCTGTTTTATATTTATTACTTTTCAAAAATAAAAGCAGAAAAATCATTCATGTTTCTCAATTCGATTTAGACTTGATTTATGATATATTTATGTGTCCCACATTCTTCCTTTAAAGTGTGTTTTTAAATCAAGAGAGACAACCCAAAAGCTTTAATGTGACCGTTTACTTGATTAGCTATTAGTTGCGTCATCTCAACAAACATCTGCAATTGTAATTTCTAGATCTGCCTTTCGATCATTCCTACACATGATACCAAGTCTGTCAAACACAGGTACGTTTGTGTTTCCATGGCAATAACAACATGTCCATCCTTCACTCAAGCGTCTGTGACGAGTAGTTCTTGATTCCAAGGCCAGAAAAAAACAGCACAACGATCTCATCCAGTGGATTCTGAGACTTTAGGATCTATTTGTTCCAGTAGATCTCATACGACTTCTTCTCTGAGAAACTGGCCTCTGTCGCTCCTGTTCCACTTCTCACTCTTTCTTTTACCACCTTCACCACCAGACCACCGGCCAGGGCGATGCCTGCTGCAGCCTTACCGATCTCAGCCACTGCGCTCAGGAAGCATGTTGTTGCTCTCACTGTGCCCAAGGGATCTGACACAACTGTGTTTGTCACTGATGTCATACTGGGCCCTGTTATTCCACACAGCGCACCAGGAGACCCTGCAGCAGATGCAGCTGCTCCTGTAGCAGATGCAGCTGCTGCAGCAGGAGCAGCACACTGAGTAGTTGCTGCTCCTGCACTCAGACTCCCCACAGCGCCTCCTGCATGCTGCCCTGCTGCTGAAGCTAAACTCTGAGATACAGAGGCGTTCACTACACCCGCTGCTCCTGCTGATGCGGTTTCAGTTCCACTGAGGGCTGCAGTGCTCCAAGCTGCTCCCTCCAGAGCTGCACCCAGAGCAGCTCCAGCTCCTAGGGTGCCTCCCACACCCGCTGCCATCCCAACAGCAGAGACTCCGATGAGGCTGACCTGCCCCAGGGCATCCAGTGCGCCTTCACCGGGACTCTCAGCCTCAGCACCAGCAATCGCTCCAACAGAACCGCCCAAAACTCCACCTGTTGCTGCGCCGAGAGCCAATGCAGTTTTCCCCGAGGCCGCCGCCACTATGGCCCCCACAGCTTTCCCCACACCTGTTCCTCCGGCTACAGACATCCCAGCTAACTGACCTGCAGCGAAGCCCACAGAGTTCCCCATCAGAGACGCCCCGGCTGCAGCAGCTAAAGGGGCAGCTGCCCCAAACACTGCTCCAACAGCCATCCCTGTGGCTCCAGCAGCCACCAAGATCTTCACTCTGTGCAGAACTTTAGCCGAGAGAGCCGCCTCCCTCCTGAACGATGAGCGGAGAGACTGTCGCCTTCCCACCGCTCTGCTGCTCTCTCTGCGTCTGCCTCTGAACTGCTCCCTGCACTGTTTCACTCCGTCCCTCAGGAAGCTGAAGGTGCTGCATCTGCTCTCCTCCCTCCACCTCTCCACCCTAAAGTCCTCGTCGCTCCCTCTCCTGACCTCCTGTGATCCACCTGCTCTGTTTGACTCCAGGTCACACTTCCTTCGTTTTGTAAGAGTAGTCTGCTCCTCCAAGCTGCAGCTGACCCCCCCTTGTTCCTCCCCCTCTGCTTGCCCTCTCTCCATCATCATCCTTCTCTGCTCCTCCCTGATTGCAGCTTCTGCCTCTAAAAACATCTCGTTGGTATAGAACCCTGTGCTTGTCTGTTTCACCATCTCGTACACCTTTGTTAACAGTTCTTGAACCTGTGCAGAGTTACCAGGGTCCTTGTTGTTGAGTACGTGGTACCGCCCCCCACACCTGTCAATCAGAGCCGTCAGTCCAGCTGGTGCAGTCTCCCTCAGGTACTCTTCAATCCCCATCCCCTCCAGGTC